AATAAGTTTTGTTCCCTTAGACGAAAATATAGTGGCTCTTCCGGAGCCTTCAATTAAACTTATATTACCAAAAATTGTTGAAACATTTACTTTTTCCTTATGTAAATAAGAAAAGTATTTCTGATCTTTGAATATGGCATGGGTTTTTCCACTATCAATTATACAAATATCTTCATGATTGGTCTTTGATCCAAACATAATTTGAGGATTATCCATATTCTTCAAAATGACATAAACAAAATAAGTATGATAGTAAACATCATTATTAAAACATAACTTTTATTTACAACAATTACATAACCATACTATCTACTACAAACAACAAAAATTAAAATATTTACATCTCTACAGATTCATCACCGATCACATGACTTGTTTCTCCTTCCGGGAGTGCAAAGTAATCAGCTACATCCAAATGCATAAAGTCTAAATTATCTTCAGAAATAAAATTTGCTTCAGCATTTTCCTGTGTCTTCTTCAGGGAGGCTTGATAAAGCTCAACTAGGTGCTTTGGCGTACGACAGGTACGTGACCAATGCCTTTTTCCTCCACATCTATAGCATGCATTTTCTGGCTTTGCTGCTTGTACCGCTTCATGCTTTTGTTCCTTCCTTTTCCACTGCTGGTGGTGAGGAGGGTTCTTTGGTGCATTATTATTACCATGATTAAAGTTTCTTCCCCGACCACGGCCATGACCACGACTGGGGCCACGTCCTCTTCCACGCTTAGCTTGGTGGAAGTTCGTCTCATTTACTTCAGGGAATGGACAAGAACCAGTAGGTCGACTTTCATGGTTTTTCATTAATAGCCCATTATGTTGCTCGGCTACAAGAAGATGTGAGATAAGTTCAGAATACGTTTTGAATCCCATCTCTCGATATTGCTGCTGCAGGAGCATATTCGAGGCATGAAAAGTGGTGAAAGTTTTTTCCAATATATCATGATCAGTAATATTATCACCACATAGTTTCAATTGGGAAATAATGCTGAACATAGCAGAATTATACTCACTGATAGATTTAAAATCTTGTAGCCTTAGACGAGTCCAATCATAACGTGCATGTGGAAGAACGACCATCTTCAGGTGATCATATCTATCTTTCAAATTATTTCACAGTATAACTGGATCTTTAACAGTAAGATATTCCATTTTCAGGCCCTCATCAAGGTGATGACGTAGGAATATCATTGCTTTGGCACGGTCTTGATTTGATGCCTGATTTTTGTCCTTGATGGTGTCTGCCAGACCCATCGCATCAAGATAAATTTTGGCATCAAGCACCCAAGACATGTAACTTTTGCCCGATATATCCAGGGCTACAAATTCAAGTTTAGAAAGATTTAACATTATTTAGAAAAGGAAAGTTCGTACCTCTGATACTTTCAAAGTATTTGCTCGAGATGACAGAGTCTCGTGTTGATAACGTGTTATAAAATAAAGACTGTAAAGTAAAGACAAGTATAGAGAGAAGCTGATATATTATTCAAACTTCAAACTTATGTACATAATGAACTGAAAACTCCTCTATTTATAGAAGAAAGGAAGTTGTTATGTAAGCTGCTACTGCAAGCTATTGTGTAAGCTGCTACTGCAAGCTGCTGTGTAAGCTGCTATTGCAAGCTGCTATTGTACCAGATATAGGTAATCTTCTACCGGGGGTAATGTTTATCCATAACGGAGTACCAAAATGATAAGCTTCTTCAGGAGGTTTATTTCCAATAGAGTACTAAATAGATAAACAAATTTACGGCGGAGTCTCATATGGATAAACTTATTCAGTAAGCTTATTTACAACGGAGTAAATGAACATCCATAATATAATATATTTATAATAATTTCCACATTTAATAGTTATATGCCACAAGATATAATGTGACTCAACTAATGAGTCTAATGTCTTAGATATGTTATCCAGATTTACGAGTGTATATTTGGTATATCATGTTTTATACGATAGGAATTGCACCTGGTAGTTAGTTTTCACCTGTTATTTAAGGTATATTTAATTTTTTCAAATTATTTAACTTGTAATCGATGTTGAAAAACTTCAGAAAAAAGTGTTGATTCTCCTCTTCTTCTTCGTTTAGGTCAATTTCAGACAAAAATAATTGAAGTTTGGGCGGCCAAACTCACACTATTGAGACTTATATTGTATTTATATTTATCCCCTTTATAGTTAGTGTTAGTTAGTGTTACGCCCCAAACTCGGAGAGCGCGACCGGCGCTCAACCGAGATAACCCGACCAAGCAAGCCTGTACAATACCTTCTACCCGAACTTACTCAAGAATAACAGTAAAATCCAATTCATTAATCAAGCGGTGAGTAGGATCAAGTAATGAATTGTTTTTATTAAACAATAGGGAGATCATATAGACAATAACAATTCATTACCATTAGTAACTATGTTTAACAAGTCTCAAAATACTTGCATTGTAATGATTTGAAGTGGAACAAGTGATCAAAACACAAAATAACTTGTTTGACTTTTCCAACACCCATATACAACCCACATATGTCTACGGAGCCTCTAATAGATACAAAGGAGTACAATGATAGTGCATGCAACAAGGCCCAGGCTATACCTCTAACACCTTACACAAAGAACAAAAGATACATGACCCCGAAATGAAGTAGGGTTCACCAAGTCTGTTGGGAAAAGAGTGTACCGCTATCACTGATCAATGCCTCATGTCGTGGAACCACCTGCATCTATTAAAGATGCAGCGTCCCGGCAAAAAGGACGTTAGTACATGTGGAATAGTACTAGTATGTATAACTAAACACCCTCTCAATGGAATGAGTAATAATAAAAGGAGGAACCAACATGAAGTCAATAGAAACCTCAAAGAATACCAAAACATCAAGTTAAGAACCACATAAGTTTTCAAGTAAATTTTCATGTTTTTAGGTTGGGAGATCTTTAGTACCGATATACCATCATTCAAAATACCACCGTACTATTACAATGAGTCCGATCACGACTCGATCGGCTAGGCCGTTTCATTTGAGACATCAAGCACACTCACAATTTCAATTATAATTTCCAGCACAATCACCACCATATGTGTGGCATGGTGTCCGATCTCGACCTGATCGGCTAGGCTGTCTCACCTGAGACATTATCCTTTTCTATCAATCATCTCATCTCATACTCCTTTCACATCTTTTCAATTCATTGGCACTAGCGGCCACAATTATAATATCATTCTTGGCACTTGGCCGTATCTCATATTTCATGCTCACCCTTTTCACTTTCAAACATCATCATCATTATCAGCAACAAGGCTTTTCAATTCAGGACTTTAAGTACACATGTGAGCAATTAAGAGTCTTAGACATATAGAGGTTTTTCACTTAATTTGTCATAATAACCTTCATTCAAACTTGACTTGAAGTCGTAAAATTCTTAACACATAGCCCATACTTTGAACTTATTCTCAAATGATATCATAGCATCATAAAAGCATTTGGAATGCACATTGAACATATAATTTTCAACACAAGTTTATTCGGAATAGCCAATTTCATAATGACCAAATCGGGTCTTACATAACTTACATAAACACCGTGAGATTCAATTCTAAGAAAGGAGTTTAGCCAACATGCCTCAATTGAGCTTCCTTAAACTCTAAAATATTCTGGAATTCTTAGCAACTTCAATCTATTTTAGAAATATAACAAGTTGAACAAAAATTAGGAAGATGATCATGGTTCTAGCTCATTTGAGCATTTTATCAAACACTAGGTGTGCGTTAAGGTTTCAAGGTCCTTTTATGGAGGATTCCATCATCCACAACCTATTCTTTACCATTTTTAGCTCACAATCTTCCTACACCCTTCGATTACACATGCATGTAAAATAAACAACTCCCATACCCACGAATTGTCTTGCTAATTACCCATTTTTAGTTAAATTTTAAAATTAAGGGCTAGGGTATAGAATCTTACCTCTAGGATGAAGACCTAGTGAGTTTTTCTTGTTAATCTTCGAGGATTTGAGCAAGAATCGAAGGACAATTTGTTGAAGATCACTCTCCCCTCTAGGGCACTCTCTCACTCATAAAATATCAGGTTTTTGCTAAAAATGGTCCATTGCGTCTATTTAATCGAAGTAGGGTCGGGTTATAAAAACCCCAAAATGAAGCTCCGGAACAGGGTCTGCGGTCCGCGAAATAGCCCTCCGGAACTGGGCTGGTCTGTCCCACTCTGTGGCCGTTATTCAGTCTGCAGACCTGTTCTGCGGTCGCATAATGCGTCGCAAAACCTCCCTCCGCAAAATTTCCAAGCTGGTTCTGCGATCAGTGTGCGGCCCGCGAAATCATTTTGTGGTCGCATAATGGGCCGCAAAATGACATCCAAAAATGGCTCAAATGACTTCCTCATTCTGCGGCCATTCTGTGTCCCGCAGAGTGATTCTGCGAATGCATAATGGGCCGCAAAAATGCCCTTTTCTGCCAAACATTTACCTTCAACTCCCCAGCGCACTGTTTAACCCAAAAGGTATGTGCCGCAGTGAGAATCTCTATTATCATTAATACATACGCCTACCTCGGCATCACGAAACCCCGAGTTTTAGGAAAAATTTTAGGGGCCTTACAGTTAGTGGCAGTTTTGTACTTACACTTAGTAGTTAGATATGTGGTCCCACTCGTGTATATAATCTGTACATTGAGATAGTTTGAATATACAGAAATCATTTCACAAGTCTTCAGCTATCTTCTATAATGTTCATTTCCCCTCTCTCTCCCAGCAACTCATATGTCAATGGCGGATGCCTTCACCATGAGAATACACGAATTCAACATGATATTAGAGCTCGCGTTCCAGCTCTGAGTTTTTCTACCTCGTCTACTTTATCTCGTTGTTATTGCTTCTCTTTGCTCGGACTCAAATAGCAGAATCGAAGATTTAGGGTTTTGAGATTCACATGTTAATCGGGTGATTTTCTCTCGTTTTCTTCATAATTGATCAATCTTATCTACTAATTTGAATTGAATCATGGACGGAGATAAGGATACCTCAAATACAACTAACCCTAGCCTAGACACAACTAGTCCTCTATACATGCACCCGTCTGAGAGTGCTGTAACAGTGCTGGTACCGGTAGTCTTCGACGAAACTAGTTATAGATCCTGGAGGAGAGGTGTTATGAGAGCTCTTTCAGTGAAGAATAAAGTCGGATTCATCACCGAAAAATATAAGAAGCCGAGCTCCGATGATGCGACCTTCGACCAGTGGGCTCGATGTGACGTCGTAAATTCTTAATTCACTCTCAAAGGATTTGGCAGGCAGTCTATAGTATGTCAATGATGCCGAGGAGTTATTGCAGGAGTTGGAGGACCGATACGATCAAACCAATAGGGCAAAACTTTATCAGCTTCAAAAGTAAATAAATGACCTTAGTCAAGGTACTTTGGACATCACATGATATTATACAAAAATGAAGAGACTTTGGGAGGAATTAAACACCTTAAATGCCTACGTACAATGTAGTTGTCAATACACTTGTGGAGCCAAAGCAAATATGCATAATCCTAGCATTGCACAAGCCTTCTCCATTCTAATTCAAGAGGAGAAGCAAAGAGAAGTCAGGCCAAGCAACCAATTGGCAATGGAGTGTGCATTACTCAATGCCAATTGGCCTGGTTAAAACACATTCAGAACTAACTATGATCCACATACACGGGGCACAATGAATAACTCATTAAGAGGAAATGGAAATTACACACTCAATAAGTCAAGACTTTTCTGTGACTATTTCAAGAAGTCGGGGCACACAAAAGAAATATGATATAGAATAATTGAATTTCCACAAGACTTCAAGTTCACTAAAGGCAAGGCAGAAATACAAGGTCTGTTGCAAATGTTCATAGAGGTTGTGAAGAGTAATTTGGTGGAAGTATTGAAGGATCAGAGCACAAGAATTCAAACCAAGGTGTGTTAGGTCTGACAAAGGAACAATATGGACAATTGCTGAACTTGCTGGAGACTTTCCAAGCTGAAATACAGGGGAGAATCCAAACAACATTGCATGTGGAGTTGCAAACTTTGCAGGTATTCTAGCTTGCTCTACTTATAAAGAGATTGCAGAAATAACTATGTGTAAATAAATCTATTGCTGACTTATAGATACTAGATGGTAGAGCCTCAAACCACATGACTTACAGAAAATCCTTTAAGACTTTACCTTATCCATTTTTAGTTACCCTACCTAATGGATATAGAGTCAAAGTGACATAAATATGAGATGCATTCCTTGGTCCCAGTCTAACTTTGTTTAGAGTATTATATGTGCCTAGCTTCAAATTTAATCTCATCTCAATTCACTCATTAACTGTGCATCTCAATTGTATGGTTAACTTCAATAGGTATCTCTGCTTAATGCAGGCCTTTCAATGAAGAGGCCTCTGAAAATTGGTAAGACAAGAAGTGGCCTATACTTCCTCCGCTCAATGTGTCTCAGTCATGAGTCTAAGTCAAATTTTATTTCTGCTTTCAACTTGGATCTTTTCAAGTACTTTAGTTCATGTCTTCCTACATCTGTTGATGCTACAAGTGGAGTTAAGAGTCATCCTCCTCATTCATCTGCATTTGTAAATAAATCATCATGTCCATCCAATGATGTAAATATGCTTCATTCAATCAATAAGACTGACTTTTCTACTGTTAATTCCATTTCAATGTCTTCTGTTATGTCTCATAGAAATGTTGTTGATCACTTGTGGCACAATAAACTAGGACATGTACCTTTTGTAAAAATTGGGGGAATTTCCACAATATCTGTCACTTTTGCTCCCAAACGACCTTTCTTTTGCCCAATCTGCCCAATGGCTAGACAAACCAGACTTCCATTTACCTATAGTACCACTACTTCTACTAAAATCTTTGAACTAATACACATGGATCTATGGGGCCCTTATCATATAAACACATATAACAATCATATATATATATATTTCCTGACCTTGGTTGATGATTTCAGTAAATCAACCTAGACTCACTTGTTGAGCTGTAAAAGTAATGTAATCTAGATCGTCAAAGCCTTCATTTCCATGATATAAAATCAGTTCAAAACCACAGTCAAAATCATTTGGTCTGAAAATGGCCTAGAATTTGTCAATAATGAATCAATGTCATACTTCCAAACCAAAGGAATTGTTCACCAGAAAACCTATCCATACATACCACAACAAAATGGTGTGGTAGAGAGAAAACATAAGTACCTACTTAAAATAGCCGGGGCATTATTATACCAGTCCAAATTACCCATGATATATTGGAGGGGGGAGGGGGGGAGGGTGCATCCTCACTGATACATACCTGATAAATAGATTGCCTTCCTCAGTCCTTAAAAATAAATGTTCTTTTGAGATTCTCTATGATAGTAAGCCCAATTATTCACATCTTAAGAGTTTTGGCTACTTGTGTTATCCTACCACCTTGAAAACTCATAAGGATAAGTTTGAACCAAGATCCACACTTCATGTATTCATATGATATCCCTTTAGAACAAAAGGGTACAAGGGCCTACACTTGGTCACTAAGAGGATACATGTTCCCGGGATGTTCAATTTCATGAAAATATATTTCCTTTTGCCATTAAGTCTAAGTCAAATCCTTCTATTTTTCCTAAATCATTTCCAGATTCAACTTCAATATGCATTGATTCTGACCCTTGTAGTTTGAGAGATGATTGCTTGTCTGATAGGAATGCACCCTCCTTAGATTTTGTCACCACTAACTCACCTAATAACTCACCTACCCATACTGCTTCATCACTTGAAGACTTAACCACTAAAAGCCAAACTACTACTTCACCTGAAAGACATTCACAACAAAATGATGATTCCACCCTCACCAACCAATCAGATCTTCCACAATTGAGAAGATTATCTAAAACTCACACAAGTCCCTCACAATTTAAGGAATATATTTGCTCCATACCAAATTTACAGCCTAGCACTTCCCAAATTAACCAAACTTCACTTACTACATTATTTGCTTATAAGCATCATGTTGCATTCAATACTCTTAACCATGAAAGTCAGCAGCTTTTAAGGAACATTTCACATAACTGTGAGCCAAACTCTTATGAGGAGGCAACCGTGAATCCTGCATAGTAGGAAGCTATGACACAGGAATTTTAGGCCTTACACACTAACCATACTTGGTATTTAGTGCACTTACCTGCAGAGAAGAAAGCCATAGGTTGCAAGTGGGTGTACAAAATCAAGCACAAAGCTGATGGGAGCATAGAGAGATTCAAAGCAAGATTTGTGGTGAAAGGTTACACTTAGGAAACAGGGATTGATTATACGGAGACATTCTCTCCAGTGGTGAAGATGACTACAGTTAGGACATTGGTCACTATTGTAGTAAAAAGGGGTGGAGTCTTTACCGGTTGGATGTAAATAATGTTTTCCTCCATGGGGACTTGCATGAAGAAGTATACATGGAGATTCCACAAGGTTTGATGGTAGATGACATTAGCCTGGTGTGCAAGCTCAGAAAATATCTATATGGGCTCAAACAGGCTAGCAGACAATGGTATGACAAGTTAACAGAATCTCTATATTCAAAAGGTTTTAGGCACTTAGCAAGTGACTACTCACTGTTTTATAAGAAAGAAGGAACTTCACTGGTGTTTGTAGCAGTCTATGTAGATGATGTGATCCTAAGTGGCAATAACTTAGAAGAGATAGAAAAACTAAAGACATTCTTGCCCAACCAGTTTAAGATCAAAGACTTGGGAATATTACATTACTTTTGGGGTCTGGAGATATTGTATTAGTCTGGTGGAGTCCTGATGACTCAAAGGAAGTTTGCTAATAACTTGTTGAAGGAGTATGACTGCTTAGGCTACACCACTGTGTTATCTCCTCTTGATTCCACAATCAAGTTGAAAGCTGGAGAAGGGCCTCTACTTTCAGATCCAATGTAATATAGAAAATTAGTTGGAAAGCTCAATTTCCTCACCAATACAAGATTGGACAACGCATATAGTGTCCATCACCTGAGCCAGTTTATGCAAGCCCCAAGGGATCTACATCTGAAGGCTGCTTTACATGTCGTGAGAGACCTGAAGCATGATCTTACATTGGGAATTTTTCTGTCCAAGGATCCCAATTATGGGCTAAGAGCTTATTGTGATTCAGATTGGGTATTTTGCCCTGATTCAAGGAAGCCAGTCAATGGCTATATTGTCCTACTTGGTGATAGTCCTATTAGCCGGAAGTCCAAGAAACAGAGCAAAGTATCACTATCTTCTGCTGAAGCAGAGTACATGTCAATAAGGAAAGTGGTAGGAGAGCTAGTGTGGGTGAAGAGGTTGATGGAGGAACTAGCAGAGGTCTGCCATGATCCTATTCCTGTATTTTGTGATAGTCTGGCAGTTGTTTACATTGCATGAAATCCAGTTTTTCATGAGAGAACTAAGCACATAGAAGTAAATTGTCACTTTGTGAGGGACAAAATTCAAGATGGGTTGATTACACTGCATCACATCTCCACCAATGCATAGTTAGTAGTTATTCAGACCAAGGCTCTTACAGGGATTAAACATTCTGCTATTCTTGGAAAGTTGGCAGTGAGTTCCTCGCCTCCAACTTGGGGGGGGGGGATATTGAGACTTATATTGTATTTGTATTTATCCCCTTTATAGTTAGTGTTAGTTAGGGGCAATTTTGTACTTACACTCAGTAGTTAGATATGTGGTCCCACTCGTGTATATCATCTGTACATTGAGATAGTTTGAATATACAGAAATTATTTCATTGGTCTTCAGCTATCTTCTAGAATGTTCATTTCCCCTTCTCTCTCACCATCTCATCTGTCAACGGCGGATGTCTTCACCATGAGAACACACGAATTCAACACACACAAAAATGTCCGAAGTTTACTTGTTTTCAAATTGTATGAAGTTTGTTTTTGGCCAGCCTAACTTCAAATGTTTATGTCAGACTCGCGTATCTTAAGTTACTTTTGGGGAAAATAGTACGGGCTAGCCAGTTTTCAGACTGGTAATTGAAAAATAGCCAGCGTTTGTAAAGTTATTAAAAAATAGCCACTATTTTACTGCAACACAGAAAGTTCCAGCATAATATACTGGAGATTAGTGCATATGCGTATGAATTACCAGCATATTATGTTAGAACTCCAGCACACGGAAAGATCCAGCACAATATACCGGAGATTGGAGCACCTGCGTATAAACTTCTAGCATATTATGCTGGAACTCCAGTATATTATGTTGGAAGTTCACATGTAAAAAGTTCGAACTCCAGTATATTATGCTGGAATATTTTCCGGATTTTTAACAGTGTTTTTGTTCAGATTTATCTTTACATAAAAAGTGACTAAATTTCGATTAATTTTAAAACTGTGGCTATTTTTCAATTATCACTTGTAAATTTGACTATTTTTGAATTTCAACCTTGCTTTTAAGCTACTAAACTTGCAAACGTTTATGAATTTTGGCCATATCTTAAATAGGGGACCTAAAACCGTCTATTTATGCACTTTTTCCCTTTATACTGAAGTACACAAATACCTCTCAAAGTGGATGGTCTAGAATTTTCGGCCCTGCTTGTTCATGGGCAAAACTTTAAGTTTAACAAGTGTTGTACTGCAACACGTTTAGCTTTTGACCTTAATGTAAATTTTTGCTCCTCGAACAAGTGGGAGTCAAAATTTAAAAACCAACCCAAAAAGTTTCATACTTCTCTAATTTTTTGGATACCCTTCCCTCTTCGTTCTTTGCCAATTTAGTTGAACTCACTTGTCCTGGTTGCATAGTGAAAATAACGAGCTAGCTAGTTTTGAACTGGTAATTGAAAAATAGCCAGCGGTTGCAAAGTTATTGAAAAATAGCCACTATTTTAGCAGAAACACGGAAAGTTCCAGTATAATATGCTGGATTTTGGAGCTCTTGCGTACAAACTTTCAACATATTATGTTGGAACTCAAGCATAGGGGTGGGAAACGAGCGGTTTGGGTCGAAAACGGATAATGCAAAAATGGATAAATTATCCAACCCGATCCATATTTAATACAGATAAAAAAAGGGTTAACTGTCGGATAATATGAATATCCATATTATCCATGGCTTCTTGAATATGATCACTTTTGAGAGAATTTCTAGTCTCTCAAACTTGAGAAACCCCCAATTTGAGCTTTACAAATAAAAAATTTAAACTCATTGATTATCCATTGGGTATTCATTGGTTATCCATTTTCTAAGTGAATAATATAGTTCTTCTCCATATTTGACCCATTTTTAAAAAGTTCATTATCCAACCCATTTTTTAATGAATAATATGGGTGGATAACTATTTTTTTAATTCATTTTACCACCACTACTCAAGCACATTATGAAATTCTAGCATATTACACTGAAAATTCATATGTAAAAAATTCGAACTCCAGCATATTATGCTGAAATTTTTCCGAATTTTTAGGAGTGTTATTGTTCAAATTTTTTCTTTACATAAAAAGTGGATAAATTTTAATTGCTTTTGAAACTGTGGCTATTTTTGAATTACCAATTATAAATCTGACTATTTTTAATTTTTTGGGGGATTTTTACCTTCCTATACACTATTTGAAATTTTATTACCCTCCCTACTCAAGTTTCAATTTAATTACATAGCCATATACAATTTACCAATTATATACATTTTAGAAATTAAATGAGTATCCCTTTTATAATAGGGATTGAATAAGGAATCAATTAGTTCTCATCCTTATTCTCTCTCCCTTCTGCTCTCTCTCTCTCTCTCTCTCTCTCTCTCCATCTCTCTCTGTCTCTCTCTCCTACACTCTCTCTTTCTCCGTCTCTCTCTGTCTCTCAATCTCTCATTCTCTGTTCTTTCCTCAATTTTTCTTCCTGTGATGTTCTCTATTTTTTATCCTTTCATGTTGTATATATTTTTAATGAAATTCATCAATGGATTTCAAACGCTTTACTATAGAGTTTTAACTTAGCAATTTCCTTTCATGTTGCACAATTGGTGTTCAAATTGAAATTGTCAATCAATAAATTTTGAAGGTATTTGACTCTCCACCATTGACAGCCATTAAAAAGCTTTGAAGCTTTGAATTTGAATATGAATTTTCAAAAACCATTATTTGTTTGGATTGTGTGTTGTTGCAAATAATTGGGAATATTATTTGGAGTTTATATCTCAATTTTGAGGGTGTTTGGTGAAGATTAGACTTAATTTTGGCTGAATTTCAGATTGAAACTAGAAGAAGAAGAAGAAGAAGAAGAAGAAGAAGAAGAAGAAGAAGAAGGAGAACACATGACATACCATATACTTACGAAATTGTAGTAAAGTTGTAGTATAATTGTATTATATTGTAGTTAAGTATTTTTTATTATTTGAATGTTGTATAAAAGTTGAAAAATAGTTGTATAATATTTGAATCGTTGTATAAAATCTGTATTTAAGTTGTCAATACTATCTTTTTTACATAAAGTTGTTGATATGTATCAAAATTGTATTACGAGAGATATTTGATTGGAATTTTAGAGAGGAAGAAGCACACACCACACAAAATATATACAAATCAGATACAAAATATATACAAAATATACAAAAGATGTATCGTATAATTGTAAGTTGTATGATGTTGTAGTTGTATTTAACTGGGTAAGAAGGATGTATGAAAATTGTAGATAAGTTACAAATACGTTATATATTGTATAATTACTTGTATAAAATTTATTTTTATTATGTATGTTTTTGTAGCTTATCAAATTTTGTATTAAATTTGTATGATGTCGTACCATACATTACTCTTTTCTTGGAATATGATGTGTTGATTAAAGGCATTGATTTTTGTAATCGGGGCTTGTGTTGTCATGAAAGAAGTCCCCATTGAATAGGTTGTGTTTTAGTTTTCTTTTCTTTCTTTTTCTTATTAACCGTGTGCCCACTTTTGCCCCATAGATGTCAGTTGATTTCTTTTGTTGGTAAATTAAGAGGGTCCTTCTTTTCTGGCTTTGTTTTTTATCGTTCTCCTGTTTGCCATCAAATTTTTTCTTATGAGAAGCATAATATGATGTCTGTATTTTATTTATGGATAAGTGACAGAAGATATCAAACTATATTCTAATGAAATGGGATTTTCGTCAAAATCATTAGAGAAATTATTGAAATATTTCCAGCTTCACTTGTCTGCATCTTAATATTGCTACACGATCATTGCACTAGCTGAAGCAGTTTTCTTTCTTCTTTTGTTTCCAAAATTCAGACAATATGCTTGTCTACAAAAAAGTATTTAAAGAAAGAACAATTAGGGTGACATTTGCTTAGAAGTATTGCTTATTTTGTACTCTCCCGTCTGTTTGCTTTCTTTTCTTATCTTTTAAAAAAAAATATAGTTGATCAGGGAAGGGAAATGTGGTTAACACCATTGTTCCCTTCAGTTATGCCTTTTTCCAAGCAAAGAATCCCTTAATTTAAGCTACTAATAATAGATTTGGAGCCTTTTAAGGTGGAATATATATAATTTGTAAGTAATTCTTATTTAGGACGGATAATATATAAAATTAAGATAATTTTGATAAATAAATTTTAATTATTGTATAGAAAAGAAAAAATCTCTTCTTTTTTTTCGGCTGCAGAAGGTCCAATTCATATGTTTATCGGGCCCATTA